AAGCGGCTTTGAAAGCCGGGTCTGGAGAAAATTAGAGAAGCCAAACACATTTTTGGTCCTTGTTTTTGCTATTAAGGTTCTGAAATGTTTGGCTTCTAGTGTTGTTTTTGTGGTGTTAGCATTGTTCACCTCCCTCATGCCTTGGGTCGCTTCCCCAGTGGTGTTCTTGTGAGCACAGCTCTGCTGAGGTCCCCATGATGCTGCCAGCCATGACACCCTGCCAGGGCTGAGCCTTCCCGGTGCTGGAGGGATAGAAGAGAACCTGGGGAAACCTCGTAATGTGCAGGAATGTCAGTGTTACAGACAGCAGCGGGGCCGGAGCAAGGATGCATCACTCTGTCATTGGCTTGTTTTGGGGAGAGAAGAGCAAGAACAAGACAAAACACCAATCCCCCGTGTGCTGCAGAGCCTCAGCCATTGTGGGCATCCCTCTGCTTTCTTCCTGGGAGACGGAACGGTGCCCAGCCTGAATTTCCTGCAGACACACGGCAGGGCCACGGGGCCTCCTCCCCTTGTTGCCTTCTTGCATTGTGCTCTGCACGGGGCAGGCAGCGCCTGCTGGCTCCACGCCGCTTCATTCTCCCCCTGCATGGGACAAGCGTAGGTGTGAAACAAATACCAGCTGTGTCTGGTAAGGTTTAAATCCAGGATCCTTCATGAAAATTGAAAGCAAACAGTTACAAGTAAAACTGATATGCACTGTATTTTTGCTTCAGCATCACCCCTGGATACCTTTCATTTTGTTGTTATTTGTTCCTGGGACATCTCCTGTGCCAGAGCCATGAGCACTTGAGGATGCCACAAATGTCCCCTGGGTTACTCTTGGGCAGCGAGCTGGGGTGTCCCAGAGCTGGGCACCAGGTCGCTTTTATTAATACCTCCTGCTTCTTTTTCTTGTGGTTTTAATTACAATCCACCATCCCACGTTGCTGTTAACACATCTTTGTTGCTCTTTTTAATCTCTTGAGTGCCTCTTGAAGTTTAGGCTTTTGAATGCAAATGCATGTCCCAGGTGGCTGTGTTGGCCATGAGCTGAGTCCTGGCAGTGATTTCTGATTCCTCACTCACATCCAATCAGCCGGAGGTACGCGAATTATTTTAGAAGAGCTCTTAGGTGCAGAAATAGTTCTTTATGGTCTATTTAAGATTATTCTCGTTTTGTCCTTATTAGAGAACCCTCTCTAATCCGTCAAAAGAAAATAATCCACCTACAAGGAAGCAAGTAGGATGATGAATAGGTGCTGAATTTGTGGGGTTTCTCACCAAAGATGGGATTTCCTGAATCCTGATTTTTTCCTCCATTCTCCCACCGCATCCAGCCAAGCTCCCTACATCACATACATGTAGGCCACTTTTTTAAAGGCCTGCAGTGCTTTTAAAATGTGCCATGCAGACAGGAGGGATGATGCTCCACATGGCTGGAGCCCGCATTTTCCTGCCCACCGATGAGTGTTGATCTCCACAATGTGCTGAGAGCCCCAGGCTGCTCCTCCTGATGCCTGACAGACTGCAGCGGCCCCCAAAACATTGGGATCACCTCAAAGGAGGCTTTAGCTTGAGGGATTATGCCAAAGAGGGAGTCCCACGAAATGTGGAGCAACCCCAAGAAGAGGCTTCAAAGGGGCTGATGTTCAAGACATTTCATTGTTATTCTGGTCCCTGGAGCAGACCCTGAAGACCAGCAGGCATTGCTAACTGTGCACCTCCCTGTTCTCACACTTCTCTAACTGTGTTCAGGACTTTCATCAAGGTTCTGCTTTGTTCCTCTGCTCAAAGGCTGCCTCTGGACCTTTCCCATGGCCGAGCAGCATGTCTGCCCTTATGCTGGATTTCAGCTTGGCTTTGTGTGGGATTTCACCTCCTCCAGTGCCCCTTTCCTCATGCTGAGCACCCCGTGGTGCTGCGCTGGCGGCAATGCTCTCTGTGGCACTGGTGAATCCACCTCTGTGTGGGCACTGGCTTGGGGAAATGCGTTCATTCACGGCTCACGAGGCTGTTGGAGCCTGCTCTGAACCTGCTGTGGCTCACCTCGGGTTTCTCCAAGCCCTGTCTTCTGAAGGGTGAGACCCCCGCTTGTGCAGGTCTCACTTGGAGCTTCTCTGTGGGGCTGGGAGCGCAGCACAGCCCTGTGCTGGCCTTCAGGAGGATGTGATGCCCCTTGGGGATGCAGCAGTGTCCTGTCCTGCTGGGGACAAGGGGCAGAGGCACCAAGCCCCATGTGAGCAGCACTACAAGGGTGGCTGTGAGGGACCCTGCAAGGAGAGGAGGAACCCATCGGTGCTGACACCAGACTGGGTCTCAGGCATGTGCCTTGTGTGTCCTGTGTTGATCAGCCCCATGTGTGGCAGCTGGATGGGGTCTGGGGGACATGCACAGTCCTCACAAATTCTCACAAGTACTCCTGTGACATTGCATCTGATCCATGCCTTGTGTTGTCCTGTCCCGGAGGAGAATGAACAGCCCCTACTGGGAGCTGTTGGGGTTCTTGAGCATATCTCCAAATGTCTCCACAGCTTTCTTAAGAGAGAGGAAAAATACGGAATTAAATCTCCTGCAGATAGTGGGAAGGTGATGCAGGAGGGATGTGATAACTTCCACAGAGGCAGCAAATAGCATTTTTGAACTCCCTAAAGAATTGTTCCCATTACAACGGCAATAACCTAAATATTTCCAGAGCTCTGAATGGACTTTAACCATGTGATGCCCATTAAACTTAATGGGATTTATTAAAGTCTGTGGGATTTTTTTGTTGCATCTCCTGACTGAAACTGAATGCAAGATTGCAGATATCTTGGCCTGACAGATTGTCTTCCCATGTCCAGAAACTCATAAAAGGAAGATTTAGGATTGGACTTATACTGCTCTAATGTCTACTGCTCCAAAAAAATAATAATAAAAAAAGCAGAGCACCAAAAACCCTTGCACGTCTGCTCTTTCCACCCAGAGCAGCACATTTAAGCCCACGTTTAAATCTTTGTTGTTCCACGTTTCCCTTGCAGAGGTGCAGGCATGGTGTCAGGGGATTTAAGAGTTTGTTTTTGTTTCCAGCACAGGCAATGCTGCTGCCACCATCAAAAGCAGCCGTGATGACAAGAGGAGCAGAAATTACGAGAAGGCCAGTGAGGGCCATGGAACGGGGCACTGGGCTCTGGCCTTCGCGGGTGGTGGGGAGCCGCTTGAACAAAGCGATTTCTTCCAGTTCGTCTGATGGAAACTGGATGTGTGCTCAGCTGAGTTGCTCGGCCTACAGTGGTGGCTTCTCTTCAGGATGTGCAGATGTTGAATGAACTGCAGGCCCTGAGGGAAGCACCGGGGAGAACGGGCTGGCCCAGCACATCCCAGCAGGGCCGGGACAATTTACAGGGAGTGACTGCATGGGGACATCATGGAAAAGACGTTCCCAGGGAGGCTGGGTGCGACTACTTGACATTCATTCAAGAGCTAACGAGACCTGACAGGTTATTTTGCATCGTGGATAGCGGGCCTGGGGGGGGAGGAACCACGAGTCGCTCTGTTCACCAGGACAGGCCCAGCAATGGGGCCTCTGCTCTGCCCTGCAGCCCGCTCCCTGCCACCAGAGCGTCTGGGAGGAGGCGCGGAGGTTCGGGTGCTGCTCTGTGTGCTGAGCACCCAGCACCCCACACACACCTCTGGGCGCCTTCAGGCATGGGAAGTGGGGTGGGAGGGCTGGGGGGGGGGGGGGGCAAGCCTGGCTGTGGAAAGCAGAGCGCAGGAGGAGGAGGTGAGTGAGGCTTCCTTCCCTCTGCAGGTCCTGCAAAGCCAGCAGGATGCCTTTCACCTGGCCTGAAGGGGTGAAGGGGGAGGTGTGTGGCTCCTCTCCCCACCCCACTGCCTCTTCATGAGGAGGTATGCTTCATGGCAGCATACAGAACTCATTTAGTGCAAAAAGCACAGAAACTCATCTTGTTGAGGACCTCTCTGTAGCTAATAGCAAAGAGAATGGCCACACAGGGACCTGCATGAGCTCCCAAAGTCTCATCCTCGACAAAAAAATCATTACCAAGACCAGAACAGTTTTGTGCTAGGAGGCTGTGACCAGGCTCTGAGGGCCCAGCACCCATTGCAGCACCACGTACAGGTACCCAGGCCCGGACTGGTTTCGGGTCAGTGAGGGCAGCGCTGTGGGGATGGAGCAGGGACGCATCCTGCCCCCAAAGCACTGCGCCATGGCCACCTTCTAGGCCCAGCTTTGACCTAATGCTGCACTGATTTATGATCTCAGTAGCCAAGTGCCAAACACTCCAAATTGCTTGCTAATATTTTTTCCTCTCTCCCCCTTCCCGGGTGCACAGATGCCCAGCAATTAGTCTGAACGTGCTGCTTTCCTCATCCTGAACTAACCCAGGGGCTGAGCACAGGATGGATGGATGCCCAAGCATCCCCAAACTCATCATGGACATGAACAGACCCAACAGGCAGCTTTGCCCTCCAGTACTGGATGATGGCTTGGGCCAGGCTCAGCAGATGGCTTTTTGGGACCACAAAATTAAAGCCTGAAGGTAGCGGCTGGATTCTCCTTGTGAGGTCACGGTTACCCTTTGGACGCAGTGCAGGTGCTGGGGTTTGGCCCTAATGAACGCAGCTGGCAATGCAGGAGTGAGCTTTGCTCTGCTGGGGCAGTGGCTGTGGAGATGGCCAGAAGTCACAATGCTTTAGGGGCATTTATTCCTACTGCTGGCTTGTGCAAACTGGATCATCAGTCGTGTTTTTCTAGCCTGTTATGAGCTGGACTAGTGCAAACAGCTAATGAGACTGAAGTTCTGGATTTGTCCTGCATTTGTCTCTTCCTGCACTGAACGAGTTTCCAGGCACCCAGAGGAAGAGCCACTGCGAGCCAGCTGCTTCGCTCAATGTCCCTTGTGCAAGGCAAAGGCAGTCCTGCAGGCAGAACTGAAGCTCAGGCAGGGAAAGAAGGCTTGCTTGTCTGAAACAGGAAAAAAAGTGTGTGTGTGTATGACAGAGAAGACAGCAAAAGCAAATTAGACTTCTTTCTTTTATTATACAGGATCATATATACAAGGTCACCTTTCTCCCAGACATCAGCATCGCAGTCAGTTCATAGCAAAAACCGCAGCTCATCTCTCAAAGCCTAGAAAACAGCTCTACAACGGCTCAGTACAACACAATGGATAAATTGTACAGGAACCAGAAAAAGGTAGGGGAAAGCACGGTTATCCCTTAATTCCTTCATGACTTATTCGAAACTAAGAAATGCAAATAAAACATTGTGCTTCAAGAGCCATGCTTGCTCCAGGATGGCCCTCTGGGCAGGGAAGCGTTGCCCCCACGACCTGTTTTCCCCTCCACCCTTCAAAGAGAGATGCTGTCCAGGAAGTCTGGCTTCGAGCGCTGGAGCAGAAAGCAGGAGTCCCCTTTCAGAGCACCCTGTACAATCAGGGGGCCACGTCGTTTGTGGGAGAGTTTCGCTGAGGAGGTGTGGGCACCATTCTGGACTCAAAGCGCCGATGTGTGTGTGTGTTTTGGGGGGGTGGCAGACAGAGGGGAGATGGGCAGGACACAGATTGCTCTGAATAAAGTGCTGTGTGAGTCTCAGTCCCATATACCTCTGAACTCAGAAAAATTGCATAAGCCCATGGAAGAGGAAGGAACAAGCCGAGAAAGGCTGAGAGACCTCTGGGGTGTTGTGGTGTGAAAAGGCTGCCGCAGCCTTGTACTCGCATGACGTGGCACGGGTCAGAAGCAGGCTGAATTTGGGCAGCAGAGGGGGGGTGCCGGCATGCCCACAGGCTCTGTGCTCGGGGCATTCACCTGGACCACTGTGCCCAGGCGTGCTGCAGCTCTGCCAGACTGATGAGAGCCCTCGCTGCCAGGAGCAGGAGCCAGCATGCTGCCTCCTGGCCCCTCGGCAGGCGTGGAGACCCAGGGGAGCTGGGGCACGGGGTGTGAGCACCCAGGGGAAGGGGCTGGCTCCTCTGGCTGGGGAAGCAGGTAGGTCAGAGCCCTTCCAGGGGGCGGCAGGTCCAAAAGGGTCTTATCCGCCTGTCTGACATATGCTTGCATCTTCTCGTTCCTCAGGGACTTGCTCAGCCTTCCCATGGTGGTTTCCCAGTGGAGAACGAGGAGGTCAAACTGCTGAAGACAATGCAGGCTTTGTTGTCTTGCTGTCCTGCAGGCTCCTCTCACCTTCCCCTCTTGGAGCAGCACAGTACATGCACAGGCACCGGCTCCTCTCTGTCTGGAAGTGACCAGGTACCCGTGGTGGCGCGTGGGACAAGAGCCACAACAGGAGGTGGCCACTCCAGGAGCAGAGCTCACCCCACACCCTCTTCCTCAACATGACCTCCGGCGTGAGAACACAAATTGTCCAAACTGAGACAGTACTTTCCCCCAGTTAGCAAATGCTCTGTCTCTCACCAGTATGAGAAAAAAAGTCCTTGTGGGGTTGGGCTTAGTTCTCCCTCCGCTCCTAGAAAAAGCCCTGTAGCAGCTCTGACTCATGGGGTGACACAAGTGCTCTCCCATTACCCAGTCAGTGGTGGGTACAGATTACACAGGGTTTGGCTGCTGCCCGGGCTGGCTGCAGAGCTCTGAATCCATTGCAAAGGGTCGTGGGGATTCACTGGGATGATGAGTTTTAGTCGTCTTTGCTTTACAGATGGATGAAGGATGTCGGGCCATGTGTCTCCTTTCGAATGCCAGGTAGAGATGACAGCAGCACTTCAATTTAGCTTGTCTTGCTCAGTGTGCCAGGACAGGGTTTAGTCTCGTGCTTTCCTCACACCATTGCTCACTGCTGCTCTGAATGGGCTGCAAGGAGAGACAAGAGGCAGTGATTAAAAAAAGGGTACATCATTTTCCTTGAACCTCGGAGAGGTAGTGTGAGACATAGGAAAGGGAGTGAGGAGCTGATCAGTGACCCAGCTGAGCAGCCAGGCTCAGTGCTAGAAAGCACAGAGGATCAGTGTGAAAGAGCATCTTCTGAAGCATCAAAAGATCCCAACATCTTGCATGGGATCAAAACTTCTGTTCAGAATCGATGTCTCTAAAAAGTAGCGTGTGAGTTGTACCTGGTTACTGTAGTCTGGCATCCTCCACATCTGTGTAATGGCTGTTCTCCTGGAGGGAGAAGGGAAACAGAAACAGGAAATCACCACGTGCCCCCCTGCCCTGCCCGAGACACCGAGCTGTGTCACAAGCAGGGACCAGCCCTGGTCCATCACGGGCAGGACAGCTGGCACGCTGCAGCAGGGTCAGACTGCTCCGTGGTGGAGGAGCTGCAGAACACGCCAATGTGGAGACTGTGGGGAGCAATGGGAAAAGACAATTCCAGGCAAAACCAGAAATTTCCTCTGATCCTTATGCTAGCAAGCATTTGCCAAACAGACCTGGGATGTGTGATTCCTCCTTTGATTCTGAGGTCTGGCTGAACCTCAAAGGGACCGGGATGAAGTCGAGTACCACCTTCCCTTAGTGGTGTGAAGTCAGGTGTCTGATCTGTGCTGCTGCAGAGCCAGCACCTCCAGTGGGCAGGCTGCATGTCCCCAGGGAGGGTCTTAGGCCTGGGGCATGAGTGCTAAATGGTAAGCACTCATCATTGCTAGGTGAACATTTAGGCTGGATCCCTAGTCTTCACATGGCCAGGTTAAATGAGAAGCCCCATAATTAGCAAGTAGCTACAGCATACATATAACGTGGGCCTTGTTATGTGTGTTTTCACAGGCTCTTCCCTGTTTTAGCCCCGTGAGAAGTTTATTTGCACCTGGGAAGGACCCACACTGGGGGCACGGTTCCTGTGGTTACTGGAACTGCCCAGGATGCTCAGGGGGAGTCGGTCTGCAGTGGCAAATCATGCACAATGCAGGGATTCTGCTGGTGAACAGAGAAACTGGTCCCAGTTTGCAGCACAGCTCATCGTCCAGAATAATACTCATAATATTCACCACTCCCAAGGCCACAGTGACAGCACACCATGCTGAACTGCTCCCCACACAAGAGTGGGTTTGAAAATAAGGCATGTGAAAGTTGCCCTCCTGGAGCCATTCTGCAACACAAATCATTAAAAGAGTAAGATGCTCAGCAGTAACATTTTATTTCCTACACAGGCTCCATTTTATGATGAACAGATGGAAATGGAGCCAGAAGTTTGTAGGTAATACCAGATGATCCAGAAGGAAAGGCAAGGGAGACCAGTCCCAACCCAGTTAGCAGCAGGGCGCTGGGGAAGGGAAGTAGGTGTGTGCTATCAGGGAGCTCAGCAGGGCTTTTGCAGAGATCCTGCACGGGCAAAAGCCTGAGGACTGCAAGGCATGCAGAAGGGACAGCTGGAAACTGCTCACAGGAGCTGGGAATTGAGACTCTCAAGATGGGCAAGTGTGGAGGCTTGTGACTTCTGGCAGCAGAACAAAGGCTCCTCTGCCTGCAGAGCTGCAATTACAAAGCAGGTATAGTGCCCTGGGAACAGGCTCGTCAGGAAAACCAGGTGAGGTGGCGATTGCTCTGGGCAAAGGAAGGGCTCAGGTGCATGGGGACGTGCACTGGAACAGGAATGAGCCAGCTGAGAGCACATGGTTGAGGGGCAGGGGGCAGAACAATGTGGGCGACATCATGGCAGGCATCTGCTACAGCCCCCCTGATAGGAAACCTGCTCTGATGTCTGGGGGAAGCCTCCTGGTTGGAGGCCTTCGTGCTCCTGTGGGACTTCATCCAACCTGGTATCTTCTGGGAAGTCAACAGGGCTGGGGGCAAGCAAGCTGGGAGACTTCTGAAAACATCAAGAAAGGTTTCTTGACACAGCTGATTGACAAGCTGGCTAGGGTCAACGAGGTGTGCCTCATGACCTTCTTACCAATGAACAAGGAAGAGCTGGACAAATATGTGATGGTGGAAAGAGAATCCTGAGAGAAGTGACCACGAGAAATAGCAGAATCAAATCCTTGGACTTGAGAGAAGAGATCTGGGGATGTTCAGAGATCTGCTTGGCAGAATCCTACAGGAGACTGCTCTGGAAGCTCACAGAGCCCAGGGCAGCGGTGCTACCTTCCAGCACACCTGCCTTGCAGCACAGGAACAGCCCCTTCTGCTGTGCAGAAGGGGCAGGCATGGCAGGAGGATGAGCAGCAGACTCCAAAACAAGCTTTTTCCTACACAAAAAGCAGAACCCAGAAGGTGAAAGCAGGGCTGGGCCACCAAGGAGGAAGATAAAGCCAAAATTCCAGTGTGCAGTGGTGGTGTTAGGAAAGCCAAAGGTAGGCAGAAGCTGGAACTAGTGAGGGATACGAAGGGCAACAGGAAGAGCTTCTGTAGGTACACCAGCAGGAAAAGGAAGGATAACAAAAACGTAAGCCCATGGCTTAGTGGGGCTGGGGACACAGGGACCTGCTGACAAAGCAGATGGAGAAGGCCAAGGTACTCAAGGCTTATTTCTCCCCCACGTTTTCCCTGGTCAGGTCTGTCTCCTGGCCTCCCAGGCCCCCTGAGCCTAGTGCTAGAGCCTGTGGGAATGCAATAGGAATGATGCTGTGGAGCAGGACACATGGGGATGGCTGGCAAGAAAGCAGCTTTGAAAAAAAAAATAAAAAGACTTCAGATGCTGGCAAACAAGTTGGGCAGGAGTCAGCAGAATGTCCCTGGGGCAAAGAGACCCTACCAAAGAGACCCTACCACATCCTGGGGTGCATCAGCTGGCAGGATGGGGGAAGAGACCTCCACAGGGCCCTTCCTACCTAAATTATTTTACAAGTCTGTAAACTTTGGGCACAGCAGAGCTCCTTTTCTGCCCAGCCTCTCTGGAAAGGGCACAAACTTGTTTTGGCAGAGACCCCCTTCCTCCTCCTTGCTTGGGCCTGGAGTGTACATTTTGGACGTGATTTCCCCAGCCAGTGCTGGAGCCTTCACCAAGGCCAAGCAGAGATTTGTGTACAAAACCAGGCAGCCAACTTTACCCTGCAAGTAGGGCTGTAAAGAAGCATCTGTCCAGCTCTCATCGCCTTCAGTGGATATCATGTGCTTGATTTCCTTGGGCTCTACAAAGCCCCTCACCCAGCTGTCCATGGACAGCAGAAGGTGAAGGCTATGCTGATGACTGTAAGCCCAAGAGATGTGGGATGAAGGAGCCACACCCCAGGAAACTGAATGACTTCAAAGCTGCTGTGCTCTAAGGTCAGGAGCAAGATTTAAAGGACAGCTTTAAAGGACAGTTTAAGAAAACACCCCTGCAGATGAGCTCCACAGATTAACCTGTCCCATGCTGAGTACATCTGAACCTGTTTGATGATGGCAGTAAAATATTTCCAAACTCAATGTCACTTTAAAACCAGAGAATTACAGAAAATCAGAAGTGGTAAGGACCTGAAATAGTGATTTTCATCTATCCCTAATGAGGATCAGCTCTTCTTGGAGAAGGAGATGGAGAGGGACTAATTACAAGGACATACAGTGATAGGACAAGGTGGGAGGGTATGGGGAACTGGATGGTCCTTAGACCCCCTCCAGACCAAGCCATTCTGTGATGCTTAAATCACACCCAGTGGATGTCTGTCCATTCTGCGTTCTCATCCCACTAATGGCAAGGTCCATGTTTTCTGTTGACAGTCTGTGAGCTGCTTTCTCATCATTAAACTTTCCCCTAATTTCTACCATCTGTTTCCCTTGACATAATTTAAACCTGGCCTTCTTTATCCTAATTGACACAGAGATGGAGGCCAGCTTTTGCCTTTCTTCTTTACAGTGGTCTTTTATTTCTCCCCTTAACCAACTCTTTTCAGATTTAGCAAGGGTCACGAACTTAGCTATGAGGTCCCAGAAACTGAAACACTTGGAATATGTCGTTCAGATCCTACATCCGTCATGAGTATGGTGGGGTGAAGTGCAAGACTGTAATCAGCTGGCAAGAGTTCTGAGATCCTTGGCCATAGGCAGAGTGCTGCAGGTGTGAAATGCCATGTGGTCAGCCCAGCGGTGATGGGGTGAGGATGGAGAAGGGGATGGTGAGCTCCATCCTCACTTCTGCTGCCACCAGCGCTATGGCACCTGGGAGCGACCCACAAATCCTGCTCATTGGGTTCTTCAGTCCCCGTTCAGGGCAGAACAAAAGGCAATGGGGCTGACATGGATAAAATCAGGCTAGCCACGCTCAGAGAAAAGCGCTGCCCTTGCCATGGATGTACAGCTCCATGCACAGCAGCTTGCTGAGACTTTATAACTACACTTGTGCAATTTGGTGCCCACAGACAAAAGGCCTTTGCAAATGCCTGTTTTAGGAAAGTGCGGTTAATACAGCATGGCCTGTCTTAGGCATATGTTTCAATTCATTCGAGATACACTTCCTCTGGAGCAAAGCAATTTACTTTAACCATTAATTAAATGTTGTGAAATCAAGGATAAATACAGTCCGAATTTCAGGAGCCAACTGTGTTTCTCCACCATTTGCTAGGTCAAAGCTTTTGCAAGCAGCTTAACAGTTAGGAAGAACAAGCTGTGAACAATCATGGGATTAAATACAACAATTTCCTTTTAGGAAGGAAAAACTATTTTCCTGGGGGTTTAATACGTTACAGTAAAACTGTGGTCCATTACTGAACTCCCCTGGCTGGAGGAACGTAGCACCCAACTGCTCTTACCAGTTCATCTTCACACTCATCCCGTGCGAGCCCCTCTTCCTCTCCCTCATCCCCGTTCAGTGGCTCCTCCGTGTTGACCTCTGCCTCTGACGCTGTGTCTTCCTGTGAGACTTCACTTTTGCTGCCATCCGCCTTCTTCCGTACCTCTGTGAGAAGAGCCAAGCCAGCAGGATCAGGGCTGGGGGAGGCTGTGGCTGCAGCCTGGTCAGACTCATCCAGAGGCCCCAGAATGGGGTCAGTATGTAAATAATTTATCTAGGGTTTATTCCACAGTAGGGAAGCTTCGCTGCTTTTGAAGGAGCTGCTATAAAGAAACCCAGGAGTGGGCCGAGCAGCCCAACTGGAGTGTGTGTGGGAGGCAGAAGTGACCCAAACAAGAAAGCAAATTAAAAAAATAAAAACTGTACTACAAAAGAAAAAAAAAACTCACTATTTTAAACCCAATTCTGTAATTTGGGGAATTCTGGCATGAGATTTTGGCAGCCCATGTAACTGTCAGCAAAACCATTTTCTGAATCTTGACCATTTTTTTTGCAGTGATGCTTCAACACCACCTAGTATTTCTGTGATGTTTTCTCCTGAGAGAAACAGATCGGTGTGTTCACTGAAGTCCATTGCTTCAGCTTTGAATTTCAATGACAAGAGAAGAGTGAAGTACCCTTAGAAAGCAGCACCCTCCCTCTCCAAGGCACAACTGAGAGCTTGGAGCTGAGAACTTAGCACTGAGCTGAATTTTAAGCTCCTCAGGGCAGGGACTTTTATCTTCATGTTTGTTAGCAAAGTTCCCTTATCTGAGCTGGGGCTACGGAAACCTCCTGTACTGTGTCTGAGCACCCCCCAACCTGGATCGTGGGGGAGATGCTTCAGTGCTGGTGCCCAGAGGATGCTACAAGCTGTGATGGGTCTGAAGACCAGCTCTGGTGGGGTCTTTGCCTCAGGCCAGCCCTCAGGCACCTGCACTCACCCAACTGACCTGTGGACAGTTTCTGTTCCTCGGCAATCTGCTCCAGCCGGCCCAGCAGAGCATCGATGTTGGACTTGATCTGCGTCAGCTCGGTTTTGATCGTTTGCAGCTCGCTGCACTTCACTTGGAAGGAAAGAAAGACAGAGAGGTGTCAGCCAGCATGGGCTTTGCTGAAAGGGGGGCAGAAACCTTGCTGAGAGCAGCAACGAGCTCTCCTGCACCACAGCCCCTCGACAGCTCGTCACTCCCGTTACAGCACTGGTGGTGACCGTACTGGGACAGTGCTGGGTGGCACGGCCAGTCCCCGGGCTGCACGCACATACTCACACTTCAGCTTGGCCGAGCTGTTGGCAATGGCAGCCGATCGGGAGAAGAGCTTGACGGGGAGCGTCGCCTTGACGCGCCGGACAAGGGGGATAGTGACCCGCGGCCGCTTCACAGGGACCACCCTGGGCACTGGGGACACTCGGCCCCGGTACTCGAAGAGCCTGCGGAGGGGATGCAGAGGGTGAAGCACGAGCCGAAGCACCCCCAGCCCAGGCCCTGCCAAGCCCAGACATCGGATGCCACTGCCAGGGCCTGTGTCCCCCCCACCTCGTGCCCCATGGCTGGAGCTGTGGCCTCTCTGTGCTGCCTGCCCCACAGAAAGCCCCTTTGGCTCAACCTCCCCAGCTCACCTGTCATAGAAGTCATCTCTGTAATAGTCGTAGTCGAAGTCATAGCCGCTGCAGAAACAGAGTCAGGATGGCACACGTTAATTAATGCCAATAACGCACCACCACATCCACCCCACCGCCATGCTCCTGACTGGCCACGGGGAGAAAGCCTAGCCTGGAGAAAGATTTGGGGCTGAACACACTGGAGATGTGATGTTGGCACGAACCTCGCTATCTGGAGGAGAAACGAGAAGTGCAGATGGATTAAAAGCTACAAACTGGGGCTGGGGACAAATGTCCACCAGCCCCCTGAGGGGATGTCCATGTGATGGCTGAGCCTGGGGAGCTCCTGGGGGCCAGCTCTCCATCTCCAGGCCACCTTGTGGAGAGCTTCAACTGATGGATTGCACTGGTAATTGTGGAGGCCAGTAATTGTGGTGGCCAGTAACACGCTGTAATACATTGGTTTAACTTGTTCTCAGGGCACTGCTGATATCCTTCCATTTTGTGTGGTGGGACTGCACCTGTGCCAGGAGGACATGGCTTTACCTGCTCTACCTGGGTGGTATTCTTCCATACCATACTGTAATGGTTGGGGGAGAAGTCAGGAAGAAGGGGCCTGGAGGAAACATTTTTGCTATCAAGGATTTTTAAACCTCCCTCCTCTCAGCAAGACCCTGCCCACCTCCTGTTCTCTTAGGCTTGAGCTGCATTTTAACCCAAGGTCAGACCAATACATTTCTCACCTCTGACACTCCCTGGAGACCCAGTAATGTGTTTTCTCTCTTGCTGCAGCTGATTTTTTTTTTTTTCACAAGGCAACACAAAACAGGTGATTGCAGAGGGCAATCACAGCTCTTCAGAGTGCTCTTGTGCTGGCTGATGCCCCAGCACACTTGCACGCTGTGGAAGAGTAACGCTGCTGAACAGAGCAGGTAACCCCCAGCTGGGCACAGCGTCTGATTCCCTTGTGTGCTGCTGCCCGAATTGCTGCTGCTTTATGAGGAAGTTATGCTGACGTTCCCTCTGCTCTGCTCTGAACAAAGAGAATGGTTATCAGCCCCTGGAAGCAAAAGCTCTGTCCTGTGTCATGAAACTATTTAGTGGCTTATAAACAAACAACACTAATGGGAAGAAGGAGATAGCGATGGGAAGAGGGAAGGATGAGCACTCAAGTATGTAGCCTGGGGGGTAAAATTGGTGTCCTGCATCTCAGGCAAGAAGTGACCAAAAGGCTGGCTGGCTGGCAGGAAGCGTGGCTTATGTTGGCCCAGGACATCTGTCCTGCCTACACTGGCACTGGGCTTCCCACCTAATATTTTGGTTTCAGCAACCGGCTGGTTTCCAGCATGGGACTTTCCCTGATCCTTGGATGCCCCCTAAGTTCCCTGATCACCTGAAGCCACGTACAGGGACAGCCTGTGCCTCTGGGGACCCGAAACACACCTCTGGCTGGCTGAGGACAGCTGGGCTCCCTTGGAGCCAAAGGGACTTGGTGCAAGTTACAGGCAACGAGGCAGCATTTGCACCTACTGTCTTTTTTGGCAGCTGGAAGTGGTTTTGTGCTGAACTTTGTCTCCAAGCAGATGCTGACCCACTGACCGTCCGTGGCCAGCTGGGTGCTGGGTGCGGTTTCCTGCTGCTGAGCACTGAGGGCAGGGAAGGTGTGACTACAGAGCTGTTATCTCCAAAAGCCTTCCAAATTCGATTTCATCAGAAAAAAAGAAAAAAGAAAAAAAAAAAGCCATTTTGCTGAAAGCCTCAGCATAGATGAATCAGATTAATTTCAGAATTTCAGCATATTTTCAGCCTTGGCACCCTCCCTTTCTGATATGACTTGTGGACACAGTACCTGCTGGCCTCAAAGAGGAGAAACAGCTGTCCCAGCAGCCTTCCATCCAAACTCTGCGTGATCTGCATTTATTCCCCGGTATGCTTTTCTCAGCTGAAAGGGAAAGGCAATTCCAACCACGCCAACTCTTGCTGGAATGTAACCAGCGTGTTCATACGGACAGAGGAAATATGTTTTCACGTGGCATTTCAAGACTGATAACTCGATTTTCATTCGGCCCCAGGATGAAACTTGGAGATATAGAAAGTGCTATAGAACAGCAGCTCCCCTCAGAACTTCAATCTATTTTAATCACCAAGTATGTTTGACTCCAATTCTGTTTGAATCCAATAAACACAGAATCAAATCAAAATAGGATGTCATTTGAAAGGAAAACTGAACAAGGGTGCTTCTACAATGTCAGGCTCTCACTCTTCTTTTTCTTTCTTTAGAAATAAAATTGATACAGTTCTGTAATATTTGTCAAACCTGACGGGCTCTGTTGAAACGCTTCTGGCTAGCTCTAACAATGCCACCAATATTCTTTGTATCCACAGGCAGGAGAAGACAGTGGTAACCTCTCTGTAAAGGTCTCACAGACTCTGAGTGGGAAGAAGCTGGACCACCTCTCGCTGGGAAGCTCACTTGAGACCATGAGGCAGCTTTAGACCATTTCCTGATGAGAAACACAAAGCTTAGAGGGAATTTGGCACAACTCTGAAACACCCTCAGTGCTGCCATGCTTCTGAGACTCGGCCCGAGCTGGCTTTTCCTCCAGGCCCCATTAGTTGGGGTGTGGACACTGGGCTCAGCACACGGCTGGCAACTCCTGGACTTCTGACTTCCCCCAAACCAGAGGGATTCATCTCGCTGAGCTTCAGATGCTGGGAATGTAATCACATAAATCCAAGCCAGAGAGCAAGAGGTAGTTCCAGGTCATGGCTTATCCCAGCCAGAGGCAGACATCTGCCATGATGCCAGGTGAACTGCACTGAAGAAAGACTTTTTTATCCAGCAAGCACAAAGGGAGCCCAGACAACCGGACCGCAGGAAAGCCTCAACAGCGTAGAAGGCTGAACATATGTGGAATGAGCCCGTCTTAGACTCAGGGCAGCGTGGGATGGCAAGAACTCTGACCCCAGCCTCTTTCAACACCTGAAAAGTGTGACACAAGAAGAAGGCAGCGGGCTTAAGTCAGGGATTTTTCTGAAGTCTGTGACTGTGGGATGCTGCTATAACATGAGTCAGGTCACAGCTTAACAGACAAAGCCAGTCCTGCAGGAGGCTGTGGAAGGAGGGAGGCAGTGGCTGGGTGCCTTTACCTGCATCCTTGGAAGTCAGGTGCAGAGCAAAAGGCAGGGCTTCCAACAGGAATACAGAAAAATACGAGTAAAAATCTAGCTTCAGTGGTTTACCTGGAACCTGTGTGCTGATAATTTCACAGCACATAAGATAAACCTTCCTGAAATGGATGGATCATTATTCAGCAAACTGGCAGGGCCTCCTTTGTGTACAGGAATAATTTCTGCCATGTTTCAGTCAGCTGCTGACACCGTGCCCTTTACAACTAGAGCAGGGACAATCAGAGAGAGAGGCAGCAGAAGCCTATAAGGCCATGTCAAGTAGCGTGATGCTTCCAGCTCATGAGGCTTCTTCTGCATTGTTTTCCTATAGCAATTAAACAACATTTATAAATGACTCACAAAGGTTCAAAATCCACACATTTCCAATTGAAGGGGAATTGTTTTTAGGTGCTGCATTTATATTACATTTATAGTGCTGTTTCTGAGCACGTACCTGAACAGTAAATGTAAAGCTGAGTGGCTGTGCTTTTAATTACCTGGCTGACAGCCCTGCACTGATAATCACAATTGACATGTTGTGCTCTGCTCAGATCCTCCTGTTAATGATTGCATAATCTTAATTATTGCAGTAGTAGAAACAATATCTGCTGAAACGCTACTTGGAATATCTAGCCATAATTAAATAGCGAGCTTTTAAAATCCTGCACATCTGGTATGAGATTCTTTACTCCTGCAACTAGCTGAAGTAGCAGGAAGCTGGGAGAGAAATGCTGGAAGGGAACGCGGCAATTCCAAGATGCTGGGTCTGCAGAGGTGCTAGGACAGCGTGCACCAGTCCTCTTCACCAGCGCTGGACCCGACGGTGCCATTGCCCACCTCCTGCTCTGCCCTGGGGTTGCTCCTCAGCCCTGTGCGTGGGTTTGGCACCAGGGCTTGCAGGGCTGTCACTGATCCGAGCACCACAGCTGAGACGTGGGAGGAGTGGGCCTGCTGGCTGCAGGTGGTTCGACACCAGCTTTTTGACTGCAGTGGGTACAGCAAAGGACGCAGATGCCAGCTGGGCTGCGAGGTCGTTGTCCACTTGCATCCACGGGCTGTGAAGGTGTCTGCGGAGGTTTGTGTCCACCGAGCTGCTTGGCACTTAGCGGCCCTTCAAGACTTGCTCAGGTTGTCCCAAAGCTCGCTGTCCTTCGGCTACAGAGCAACACGGGCACCACCACCACCGGGACGGGCAGGGACCCTTGGTGAACCACAGCACTGCCCACCCCAGCGCCCCGCAGCTGGTCCCAGGGCAGAGCCATCTTCTCTGCACAGCCCCAGCGAGGAGCAGCCAAAGCACAGCGCGGCAGGGGCACTGGCACCGAACCGGCTGTGGTCCAAAATGCCCCAGGAAACCCTGTCTGAACGTGTGCTAGGCAGGTGAAAAATGTCCTGCCAGAAGGCAAATGGTTTTGAGACACAGCATGTGAAGACCTGGGGGACATGGTCAAAAGACAAGCTTGTTTTGCAGCCAGCCTCGCTAACTCTTTTGCAGCATTTCCAGGCACGTCTGTGTTGAGCAGCGGTGGCCAGGGCACAGGTTGGGAGCATGGAGGGGATGTTCTGTGTTGTCCTGGTTTCAGTTAGCACAGAATTAATTTTCTTCCTAGTAGCTGGTGGAATGCTGTGTTTTGGCTTAGGATGAGAAGAGTGCTGATAACACCCCGATGCTTTAATTGTTGCAGAGCAGTGCTTATACTAAGCCAAGGACATCTCAGCCTTTTGCTCTGTCCTGCCAACGGGCAGGCTGGGGGTGCAGTAAGAGCTGGGAGGGGACAGACCCAGGACAGGTGACCCAAACTAGCCAAAGGGGTATTCCATACCATCTGACGTCATGCTAAACAATATATAGGGGTGGCTAGCCGGGGGGAAGGGGCCGGACTGCTCGGGGTTAGGCTGGGCATCGGTCAGCGAGTGGTGAGCAATTGCATTGTGCATCACTTGTTTGTACATACTATTATTACTTTCCTATTATCACCATTGTATTATTATTGTTATTATTTTTACTATTATTTTGTTATTATTATTTTCCTGTCTTATTAAACTGTCTTTATCTCAACTCACGGGCTTCACTTTCCATTTCTCTCCCCCGTCCCAGAGAGGGAGGGGGGAGGGTGAGCGAACGGCTGCGTGGTGTTTAGCTGCCAGCCGGGTTAAACCACGACATGTGTGCAAGGAGATGCCCAGGCAAAGGCACAGGCTGAGGGAGGGTGGCCCTGAAGGGATCGAGGCAGAGCAGTGATGGCAGCAAGGCTTTACACTGACTGAAGGTCTAGGTTTTGTAGAAGCATCTTAGAAAACTCATGATGATGTGAACCTGGGGTATGTTTTACCTGCTAAAGGTAGATGGGAGGCTACATCCCAAGGGATTTCCACTAAACACCCAAATATTACCCTGGGGCTGATGGATCAAATAAGACTGCCACTGTTTTTACTGCCTCTGTGTCCAAAATGAGATAACCCTTGCCTTCCTTTCTGTAGTACTTGATTCTCTCATGCAGAGTTAGGCAAAAGAAATTGCAACCATTGCAAAACTGATCTTAGGTGTTTAACACAGCACTTCTATAAATGACAGCGCTGTGATTTTTGATGTCTAACATTTAGAAAAATTTATGACAGTTAGGAGAAGCTATAACCATGGCTCACTGCAAACCTGGATTCCTGGCTTTCCACGAGATATCGTAAGTTTTGCTAGTCCAGATGGCAAAGTTTAAATCTGTCACCAATCTGGGATGAAATATTGCTGAAGCTCAGAGCAGTGTAGTTCTCTGGCCCGTATTTTAGCATATCCTTATTTGTGGGAGGAAGCAAACTTCTCTCTCTTCTTCTACACGACAGCCTAGAAGTCTGAAATACTGGGCATTTCAACAGAAGAGGATTAGTAGTCAAGGCATGGGTGAAGAGTAAATGCTGACAAAAAATGCTCTTTATCACATGATGTATGGAATGAACTGATTTGCAGTATGGCTACCAGCACCACGCAAGTCATGCATGTGCAAATAAATAGAAGGATTTGTGTCACTTCCATCTCCATAAGTCAGTGTGGATGATGCACGGATGCACATTTTCCCCCTGTAAATCCGGAGGGCCAAGCTCTGGCTAAGGGTGGCATCCACAATAAGCCTCCTGAGTGATTTGCAGCCAGCGTGAAGTGCACGAGACACAGCTTGAAGAGCTTGGGATTTCAGCACGGTTTTCTGGGGTCTTTTGTCTCAGGGTGTTTTTGCAGGTGGAAGCTCTTGGACTGGCAGACCAGGTGCCCCATGCCATCTGCCCAAGGGAAACCTGTCGGAAATGGGTGATGCTGCTCCCTCTCCCAGCATTTCTTCCCTCCTTGTAGCTAGGGAGACAGAAAACAGCTGAGCCAACGCCAGCCACATGGGACACCCACAAGCTGCCTGGGGTGGCCCCGGTCACCCTGGGAGCCAGGCAAAAAGAGAAGCTGGGTTCGCTGGGGCTACTGGACCACAGGATGCAGGGGGCAGATGTCATCCTCTCGGCTGGGTCTGGCCGGTCAAGAAGTCCTATGAGCCCAGGTGGGTGGAAAAGTGGGGAAGGAAGTGCTGGTCCTGGATGGCAGGAAAAGTTTGCCTGCAGAGAAAGAACTCAGCTGCGAGGCCCAGGGAAGGACTCAGCAGGTGCCTTGGGGGTGTCATGGGAGGCTTTCGGAAGCTCTGGAGGGTTTGCTGGCATCAGAAGCACGTTGCCACTGCTAAGGTTTGCCATGTACTAGCACACTGGTGTTGGGCTGAGTCGGGATCACAGTTTTTTCATTTCTCTTTATCCCTCTCACTTCTTTTCTTTTTATAGAAAAAGCCACAGTTCTCTCATGATTTTCTTTTGTTATAACACCCACCTATAGCACTGATACTAATTTTATTCCCAACATCACACATTCTAAATCCTGACTCAGTGCCCCAGTCTCCATACCATGAAACTGGTACAAAAATCACGAGAATTTATAAATAAAACACATTTGGGGATCTAGTTATTTGGTTTTTGGTTCTCGAACCTGTGGGGCACTCTCAAAATACCTTTTTAATTTTCCTTTCTGAACCTCAGGAGCAAGAACATAATGAATTTCTCTCATGCTCCCACGACTCCAGGCTGTGAGGCTTCAATGAAAATCTCCAATTATTGTGCGAATTATGATGAAGTCTCTAGAGGTGGCAACAGTGACACTGAAGGCTCTCTGTCATCTGTGACACCCTACATCTCCCACAGACCTATGTCATGTACCATTGTCCCTTCTGTCCCTTGTTCTCTGTCCCCTTCACTGCTGCTGCCAGCACAGGTTCCCTCAGGGCCTCTCCTGGCCACCTCCCTGGTCCACCTCCACTTGTTGCTCCAATGCCTTCCCACCTTCTTCCTTTCTTCTCTCCCTTTCTGTGTTATTCTTCTCTTGCCCTTTTCTCCAGCATCTTTCCCTAAATTACCCCTGTTGTCCCCAACACCTGGCAAGTGCCCCTACTGCCTGCGCTCCTCCAGTGTGCTCCAGCCCCAGCAGCGCCCAGGGCCAGGCCATGCCCAGGTGCAGTCTCACAACACCACGGGTCTTGGCCCACCCTGGGTCTGCCGTGTGGCTTCCTGCTGGCTCTTCTCCCTTCAGCCTAGCCCTGAGGGGTGTTGCAAAGGCCAGGCTCAGGAAAGGCCACGGGAGGAGAAAATCTGACTGTGCGCAAAAGGCCTGGAGGGCAGTTCAGGAAAATCAGCCCTGGCCAGAAGGAAATACCTGCCCGGAGACCTCGCTGCAGGGAGGTGGCACAGCGGAGACCTACCTGTATAACGCGGAGGCTGCTCTCTTCAGCCCTTTAGGTCTGTTGGGTTTGGGCTCCCCGGCCATGTTGATATCTGCAATGAACAAAGCTGCAGCATTACACGGCTGTGGCCAGCGGATCAAGGCAAGGTCAGACAGACCCACTGCACTCCTGTCTGCCTTCAGCTGGTCCCTGCCAGGCACGCATTCCCGTACTTAGCCAGCCTCTCCCTTTTCTTTTACAAAACTTCTAAGCACTTATTTTCAAAGTCAAGCTCCCCAGACACGATCTAACCCGTGTACACAAATTCAGGGCAGGCTTTCCAGGAGAACTCAGCGCTGTTGTGATAAGGCAGAGACTACAGAAAACTGCTGCATGCTGCTAACTGGTAGTTATGATTTACCCCTTGCTCCTTCTAGAATAAAAAATGAATGTTAAGGACAAGCCACCCAGGCATGGCTTTGGACTGGGCTGCATTAAAAGGTGCACAGAGTGCAGGTGCACGCCTGCAGGCACCCCAGTTGATCTTGCGGGCACGTCTTCAATGAGGGAAGGTGAGAATGAGCCGCTCTAATCTGCGGAGGAAATTCCTCTCCTCGGCTTCACTGTCAAATGTGCTTTTGACGTGAGAATAAAGAGGCAGAGCCAATTTCATGCAGCCTGCAAAGAGCCTGGCAATCCAGTGCTGAGAGTGACCACGGGTCAGCCTCTGTATAAGTGCCTCTGGGCACGGCAGATTCAAGCACACGAGGCTGGATGTCCTCAGGTAGCCCAGGAGTACCGCCTGCACGGGGCTGGGCATGGGCTGCCCCACAGCACTGGTGCAGGTCTGTGTGCTCAGCCAGCACGGGCTGCAGCCTCTGAGGTGGACTTGAGGACGTACACCTGGGGCTCAGGGCTTGTGGAGCTGACATTGCCAGCTGGGGGATTTAAGTTCTCACCTCTTCAGGACTTGCAGGATGTGCTGTGAATCTCAACAGCTTTACGTCCCAGTCCTACCAGTCACATGAAGTGAGCACAGGACTTCTTGGGGAAATAATGGGGCCCAGCTGGGCTGCTCACCATCAAAATAAACAGCTGGCAAAGTGACCAGAAGTAAGTGCTCATTTTCTTTGCGGCCTTTCACCCTTCATCCTTCACCCAGAAGAGTGTTGAGCCTGAACAGGGACGTGCATGGAGACAGGACAGCTCTGTGGGCAGCTGCTGCCAGTGTGGGCCTGTTGGAGCAATGCGGTGCTTTTGGCAACGCTATAAAGGAAGAGAGGAATAAACTCTTCTTTGGTGCATCCCAGAACACATCCCTGTTCAGCTCCAGTTCCCCCGCTGTGAACCCTTTCTGCTGTCAGGGTGCATCTTGCCAGCTGCCAGTCACTTTTCTTGCACAACGGAGAGCTGATGACAGCTCCATGCTGATCAACACCCTTCAAGGGAGACGCAGCGGAAGCCCAACGGTGGATAATGACAACAATTAGCTCAATTTGTTGGTACGCGCTGCCAGAAATAGCACTACAGAGCCTTCATCAGGGCATGCAGTCAGAGCAGGAAATCTGTACTTTCAACCCGTAGTGGTGATGAGAAGTAAGATCCCCCAGGACTCCCTTGACAGGGAACAAGGAGAGACAAGAGCTCAGCATGCACACCAGCCTGGACAGATTTTGCAACCCATTGCCATTCTGGCTCCCTCCTCAGCATTGCTGTATCCATCTGTTCAGCCCATGGTGGTGTATGTCCCCCCTGCTCATAACCAGGCATCTCTGCCCACACTGAAAGCGGAGGTGGCAGGGCGAGCTTACTGGTGTGGATCCAGATTCCAGTGCAGAGCTCCCCCACTGAAATGGTGATGGGCTCCTGCAGTGGCTGGGCTGTCCACAGAGGTAGCCAGGAACTGCCTGGCAAAGCAGTCCGTGACCCAGGATGGGCTACAGACGTGGCTTCCAGACACCTCCATTTCATGATGCATCTTGCTGATCAGTTAAAATGGAAGCCTGACAGCTCGCCTGTCCGCTGACCAAGGAAGAAGAATCAAAATGAAAAGATGGAACAAATGCTACTAGACCACCTAGCTTGAGAGCTGACCTTATGTGGGAGGAGACAGCTAGAAAGACAAGCTGCTGCCTTGCTCATTTGTTCTGCCATGGCACCAGAGGTGGCAGGGAGACTGCCGCTGGTGCTCGGGAGCAGGAGCCACTGAGAGCCACAGCCCTCCACCTGAGGGGCTCTGCAAGTCCCGGCTTTTCTACAGCCTATTTGAAGGGGTTGCAAGAGCCCTAAGGGGAAGCTGGGTGGAATACCTCCTCCTTGGATTATGCAAACTGTGCCACGTAGTGCCAGCAGAACCGGGACACCACAGCTGGGGCCTGGCGTGCAGGAGTGGCTCTGGCTTTGGGTGGGGATGCTGTCCTGCCACGGGACCTGCTGGCAGTGGGGACAGGAGGCACTGCAGCATGCCGCTGCCCCAGTACCCAGTGGGGGTGCTTTGCCCCTGCACCGGGCACTGTGCTGAGTGTGTGTGTGGTGACTCCCCACGCAGGATGCAGCTGCGATGGTTTGTGCCTGCACTGGATGGAGCTGGAAAGGGACATCGGTTCCAACAGCCATGGTGTCACAGCTCACGATGCACATCCAGAACCCTCCTTTTGAAGCTTGACAGTTCTGGTTGTATCCACAGGTTCTGGCTTGAAGATGCCTGCAAGGGCAGGAAGCAGGTGGGCTGGGAGGGCAGTCCTACCACGAGAAGAGGCAGGGGCAGCCTCTTCAGCAATGTGCCTACTGTGCCCCCTGTCTGTCCGATCCCATCCTTCCTCTCCAGATCAGCACAGACTATGGGGCTGTGACTGCCTCTTTCTGTGCCTTCTTTCACGGTACACTTTCAGAGGCATCTCTCTCTTCAGCATGGTGCCCACGTGCTGTCTGCCTCCCAGCTGCCCTGCTGGCATCTGACCCGAGTGCCACGAGAGCTCCTTGGCTCCCTGGCACCTTGCTCTCGTGTCAACCAGCCCCGTGCACGTGGACAACGTCTGGGCTGGAACAGCCGGCACACTGCTCCTCACCTCAGCCCAGCTTTGTGCTGACGGGAAGAGAAGTGAAGAAAAGTTTCTGGCATTTGAATAAACCACGGATGGAAACAGCACACTGGCTTTAAAGACCAGACTGAGCACGTAACATCTTTCTGACTGCTGTGCTGGAAGCAGAGTGGGAATGGGCTGCAAATCGCTTTCCTGATTGTCCAGTGACCACTGCCTGCAGCAGGCTTGGAAATAACAAATTTTCATTAAAAATACTGTCTTCAGTTCCAATTCTCAGCTTAGAGCTGGTGACAAGGGCTTCTCAGCATGTGACCCTTCAGAGCAATCTGCAAAATAATGATGCAGCTGGGAGCAGTTGGGGCGGTTTTGTTTGTTATTTCTTATCACACAGCAGCACAGAGGAGAGACTGTCACATATCGGGTGGGGAGAGAGTTACCTCAGTTAACATCACCTGGCTAAAGCTAGTCTGTGATAGTCCAAGTGAGATTATTGCCTCTTTTGACAGGCTAAGGCTAAGGCTGGTACCTCCATCCCAACCTCAGCTGGGCCCAAACCCAGAGGTGTCTGTCTCTGCTGACCACAGAGGATGCCCCGGTAATGGGACACGATGAGACACCTGGCTTTTGAATGGTGAAAGAAGGGGAGATGAAGTCTCTTGTCATGGTAGGGGAACCCATACAGGTGCTGTGGTGCTGTCATTTCAGTCCAGGCACCCTGAAATTAAGGGTTCCAGACCAATGTCTTCAGGGCTGGGCTTTTATCTGGAGCCCCCACTGCCTCTCCTAAGCCCAGGCAGCGCTGTGGTCACAGCCCTGTGGGTGCTGGTGTGCCCCGTGGCCAGGACCAGCCTCACAGTGCCTGCCACCCCTGCGGGGCCCAGGAACCTCCATCAAGTCCCCGTTGAGCTGTGCTGTAGGACAGCTTTGTTGCTGCTCTCCAGCTCTGTCACAGCCCCGCCTGTGCCTGCTGGGTCACTGGGGGTTGTCTCCAACCCCCTGACCAGCACCAGACCTGACCCTGACCTCCAGCTCAATGTCCCAGCTTGACCTTGGACCGGCCATCCCTCGACCATCCTTCAGGGCTCAGCCCGTCCTTGTTGCACCTGGACACCTACAAATTTTTAGGAACAACTTACCCAGCGTCTGGCCAGCGAGCACGCGCCCGTTCTCGCCCAGGACCGCGGCGCGTGCGTGCCTCTCGTTGGAGTACTGTACGAAGGCATAGCCCTTGTGAACAGAGCAGCCCACCACTCGTCCGTACTTGGAGAAAATGGTCTCCACATCCGACTTCTTGACCACGGCTGTATTGAGATTGCCAATGAAGACTCTGGAGTTGATGGACTTGGGGTCATTCTTGTTCGTGATGTTGCTTGTCTGCACCTTCAATGACATCTTGAACACCTGAATGAACAAAGGGGGAGTCAGGGAGGTGTGCAAGTCTTACAAAGAGAGGTGGGGGGTAAATCTCTCAGCAAGCCTGGAGCAAGGGAACCAGCTCCTTGACTTCAGCTGGTCTCTGGAGACCTCTCTGTGCTGGGGAGGGGACTCTGTCACACACAGAACTCAATGGAAATAAATGTATTTATCAGGCTGATCCTCGGACCGCAAGCTGGTTGCTCCTGGGGGAACAAACCAGCATTTAAATACATTTTACCTCCAAATATAAGGTTTAATGCTATTAAAGGAAAGCTTTTACCTGCCTATACTTAATAACAACTCAAGGACTGCTCTTTTTAAAGCAGTCTGCATTCAGCACTTATACTCGTGCCCAGCTCCTGTGGCTGCCCTCTGCTCAGCACCCCGGCGCAGGCTGCGTCTCGCCGTGCACAAGGACAGCCCTGACCAGGGCTTCGTTTTCCTGGGTGCACACAAAGAGGTTTAAGTGGCGAAGGACCCCACGAGCTCCTGGCTGACACCTGGACTCTCGCATTGCTTCGAGCTGAATTCTGTGCGGACAGGAGGTGTCACTGTTAGCCTGGGAATCGCAGGCTGCCTGCTTGCTGCTGCTGCAACCCGCTTCCCCCAGCTGCAAGGCACTGCCCTCTGTGTTCCTTGCCTGGGGTGTTTCAGGGCAGCCCCCGAGGAAAGGCTTCTGTTCTCAGGACAAAGAAGAGGAAGGGACAGGGCTGGGAACTGCGGTAAATCAAATCTGGTCTTGCTGCCTATCAGGCAGCTTGCTATTGTTGCCGCAGCCAAAATTACAGCTGTCCAAAGATATCAGTTTGATTTTCATCTCTCAGAAACAGAGGGGCTGTTTTGGGATCGCTGTTGAGCACTGCACACATATAGGGTGGTACTCACCCAGGAAAAAGGGGTGCAGAACTGGGGCAGGTACTGACTTTCCGAGGCACACCATGGTGCTGCTCTCCCCCAGGTCCCCCCAGCTCTTGCAGAGCCATCCTATCCCCTCCCAGGGACCCTGACATCTGGCCTGATGTGGGTCTTTGGCTCTCCAGGCTGAAGCATCGGGTTTGTCTGAGCTGCCTGCCCCAAGGCAGGGCCGGTGTCTGTCCCCCAGTCTTCACTGGGCACAGAGGCACTTCCTGACATGTGCTTTGCAGTTGCACCAGGAGTTTCAAAGAACCCAAGTCCTCCTTTCCCTTCTTCTCCTGCTAAGAACTTCTCCCATAGGACACGAACTCTCCAGCTGCTCCTCTCTCGCCCTAAACCTGCAGGAGGAGGGCAGGGGGTCACTATCCATGTCACCCCTTCACCAGCTGTGCCCCACTTTGGCTCCTCAGGTGACAGATGTCTTTCTGAAGGTCTGCTCAGCTACCGGCCCCTTGGGACATCTGGACAGGCTGCTTCTTCCTATGGTCCATGCTACCTGATGGCATTTCTATGCAGACAGACAAGCATCAGTGTTTTAGGGCTTGTCACCGCTAGCTCTCCACCTCAGGATCTGCAGCTTCAATGAGACAACCGAGGAGAGCTGCCTGACCCAGAAGGTGCCTGCAGCCCGACCCAGGCAGACAGGGAGATGGTTAATGCTGACTGCAGTCACTGGCTCTATCTGGACACGCTGGGGCTGCCAGACCTCTGCCTTTTTGCTTCTCAGAGCACAAAGGACCAGGCACTCAGTTCCTCTCATCGGTTAAAGCCAGACCCAACAGGGCGCTGGGGACGCCTGGCAGGGCAGATGCTCCATGCGGAGCAGGGGAGGAGGTGACCGTGCAATAAATCTTACCCAGCTCTCACCCCCGTGATTCTATTAACCTGCCACTGGAGCTGGAAATGATCTCTCTGCTAAATCCAAGTGAAAAAAAAAAAAAAAAAAAAAAAAAAAGGTGGAGTTTGAGCCTGGCTCATTTCATTTTCCTTTTCACCCTTACAGATTACAATAGCCAGAGACTTTTATTGTATCATTTTTAAAACCATTCCTAGCAGACACAGTGCTCCCCCAAACCCTGGAAATAATAACTAAGAACAGGATTTTTTTTTTTCCCTAGGAAATTTCCGTACTGACCCCCTGGGACAGCTGAGGCTGTGAGGGACCTTCAGGAGCCTGCACACGCAGAGGGTGCCCATGCCCTGGTAGCCCCAGATGTTCTTGCTTCCCAAGGATGTGCCCAACGCGCTGAGCATCCCTGGCTCTCCCTGCCCCATGGTATCAGCAATGTCACAGGGCACTGGCATCCTCATTTAACTTTACTCTTGGTGACTCCCTTTGCTGCTGTTCCCGTATTTCTGCCTCAGAGCAGCTCTGCCCTGGTGTGTGGTCTCCAGAGCTCTCAACCTCACACCATCCTCACTTGTCTGGCAGAGATTATGCAAGTCCCCAACCCCTTCTGATAGCCACCCATGACCCCTGTGTGCTGAAGCTACATCCAAGCCCTGCAGAGCCAGCAGCACTGTGCTGGGACGCCCCTGCCCTGCTGCAGCTTGCTGTGGCACCCGGGGCTCCCACTTGAGAAACCACAACAAATTCTGGGTGCCTTTAGGACCTGCTGTTAAAGCCTGTCTCTCGGTCTCCTGTGTGATCTCCCTGCAACAGCGTCTCTGAAGCTGCCCTCGTCTGGGTTGTGATGGCAAGAATGGGCATTTGCATCTTCCAGCTCCAGTGCTAAACAACCCAAAATACAGCCCTGGCTCTCAACACCTCCTTTCCGCACCCCGGCCAATTTTAAGCTGCTACCCCAAACCCCAGCTTAGGGAAACCCCTAAAGCTGCGGTAAGCCCAAACATTTCCCAAATTGTGGCGAGCCCAGAAGTGGGTTATTTGCATCTGTCTGATCTCTGCCCAGCTGTTTGCAGCTGTAAACTCCAATTACATCAGTGCTGAGCTGCTTAAGCTGGCGTGGGAGGGATGTGGGTTAAGCTGCCTCCGTGCAAAGGGAGCGCAGAACAGAAAGGTCTGGTGGGAGGTAAATCAGGGTAAATCAGGGTAAATCAGGGCTTTTCCTCTCAAATTTAGAGGGCTGCCTCCTCTCAACGGGAGCAACATGATTCGGCTCTGCTGCTGCCAGTGGATCTGGTCCACACTCTTTGTTTTCTCTAAAAACAAAGGAGCTGGATGAGGATGTTTCTCAGGCGGGCACTCAGGTATCATATGTATCTTCACTTTGAGGAGGGATAAATTACCAGGAACAACAACCCTGACATCTCCATGAAGGTGAGACATGACCCCCCCCCCCTCCCTTTTACAGGCAGGAACCAGGTAACCCAGTGACTTGAGAGACCCCTGAAGCCCTTGTGAAGCCTCCAGCTCACACCCCGAAGTGGTGGCAAGATTGTGCCCCCACTCCCAGGTTTGAGGCCTTCGTGTCTTCAGCCCAAATTCCTCAAGCACCTTCCTCATCCTGCAGCCACGCTCCAGAGGGTGCCAGTGGTGAAGAGGGTCACTGCAGCACCCACAGGTGCTCCCCGTGGGGCCTCGGTTTCAGAAGGATCCATGGCAGCATCTGACAAACAGCGGGGCAGGGACAGCAGATGGCAAACTGAAGGTCAGGCCAGGTCAGCCCCCGTCCAAGGACATCCTGGCGTTTAACAGGCTGGTGCCAGGCACTCTCCTGCGGCCCTCACACAACACCAGCACTCCCGGAGAAACCTGCCCCCTTTGCCTTTCCTGTCCCACTCATTTGTAGCGTCTTCATGCATGCAACATTCACCTTGCATCATTCATCGCCCCTCTTACCGTAACAACCAAAATTTCATCCCTGTTTGCTCACCAAAGGCATCAAATTCCAGCCACCAGGTATTAACACGCCACGCTCCCCCTGCCTGCACACTGTGCCCGGACGGCAGCAGTGCCACAAGGCACATCTCGGCTCTCCCGTGCAGTTCAGCACTGTGCAGGGTCTCCTCGAGCTACTGTCTCTTTGATAAGAGGTGCCTCTTATCTCCTTGAGATACTGTCTCTTTTGATACTGTCTCTCCTGGGAAGAGTCCAGCGGAGGGCTGCAAAGATGATTCAGGGCCTGCAGCATCTCCCCTGTGAGGAGAGGCTGAGACCTGGGGCTGGTCAGCCTGGAGAAGAGGACTGAGGGGGGATCTCACCAACGTGTATAAATATCTGTGGTGTGGGAGACAGAGGGATTTGGCCAACCTCTTCTCAGTGGTCTGTGGGCACAGGACAAGGGGCGATGGCCACAAAATGGAGCCCAGGCAGCTCCGCACCAACATGCCAAAGAAATTCTGCATGGTGAGGGTGCCGGAGCGCTGGGACAGGCTGCCCAGGGAGGCTGGGGGGTCTCCTCCTCTGGAGATATTCACGGCCTGGCTGGGCACCTCCCTGGGCAGCCTGCTCTAGGGAACTGCTTTGGTGGGGGGTTGGTGATCTCTGGAGGTCCCTTCCAACCCCTACAGCTCTGTGATTCTGTGATAATGCCATGTAAAAACCCGCAGGAGCCCCTGCAGAGCATCTTGGCAATGTCTCTGATTAGAAAAATACGTACAACAGAGACAAGTACCACTGGTGATATATGAGTATTCTAATAACTACAGCTGTCTTCAGGGGATGCATTTTCACAGCTATTATTTTACTCTTCCTCCCCCAGCTCCGGACTGCAACAAGCCAGATCTGAGTCACAAAGGAGAGTAAGAAAAAAAAAACAAGAAAAAAAAAAAAACTTGCAGTGATATTTGTCACTTGGACATAGGTAAATCAAACCTTCAGCTGTAGACCACAAAGGAAACAGAGCAAACGTTAGTATGAATCTCTCTGTTCTCTGGAAGGGAAACTGAGGGACGGTTTCCTTCCAGTTACTAAGGAACACTGGCAGTCTCAGTAGACCTTGCAGTTTTGCTGAGAAGTCCCTGACATTTGCTGTTTTGCTTAGAGCTTCAGCTGCCAGCTTCATGTGATGATGTGAAATCCCACAGATGCATCTTTTTGCACCCATGGCTGCGGGTCCCTGGCCGTGCTCCCTTCCCCTCCCTGCAACATGACCCTACCAAAAATC